AGACATCCAAATGAAATGTTTTAATAAAAAATCAACCGGAAATTTAAATCGTCGATATTGCACAAAATTTGGTAAATATTTTGAAATAAAAAGCAAGCCACTCTCTACTGTCAACGACTTTATGGCGGCGGCAGAGGCGAGAGGCACACCCCGGCCCCGGCCTCCACCCGTCAAGTTGTCGCTTCTCCATTCAGAGATCAGAGTGCCAAAACTTGCAAAGTCGTATCCAAGTACATATTCCTTTTGGTATTATCAAGATACATAATGGCTTTCTAAAGCCAAACAATCATAATGCCTATGGAGGGTGTAATGAATGTTCATACTGCCCTTTGGGCCTGCACAGAAAAGGTCAACCGTATCATCCGCAATCAGAGGAGACAGAATACAAACATTATGTTTGTTTGTTTGTTTGATTTCATTTATGCATGTCTCAACACATATAAAAGTAATATACAAACTAGGTACATGTATATTTCTAATAAAAGTCAAAATACTTTTACAATCGTATCATAATATAAATCAATTAAATAATTATACCTTTACAAAAACAAATAGTTGACACTTGACAAATCATTTCAAAATTGAAGGAGACCGCCATCATGAAATCATGTTGGTGTATAATGCATACTGTTACAATTCGAGGTCAACCGGCCGTTTTGGACCCCGCCCCACGCATTTTAATCAAATTTGATTTCTTAACAATATATTCTTACTCAGTATTCTTACTTACGAATAAAACTAAAACGAAACTCAAGAACTGTTCTTTGGCTTACGGTGTGTTTGAGGATATTATTTTAGTTTTCCAACCCACCCAGGCCTACGTGTTGCTCAAATACCGTTGTTGGGCTTGACTATCTTTCCAAAGCGTCTCCAAGGCAACAATCTGCCAATAACTAATGTATTACAAATCAATGAATCTACATAAAATCTGCTTCAAAACTTGTCATGAAATAAAATGATATGTCTATTATTTATAAGGAATAAATATTCTCTATATTGTCCGTCATTGGAATAAAATTTTGGGTGCAGTATAAATCGGACTCGTCTAAACGTTCGGGGGCTCGATGCGAGTATGATTTAAAAGGTGAATGAACGTTATGATTGCTGCATTATAAGGTACAAGTATCAACTTTCAAAAAGGAAACCGCCATGTCATCAATTTCCACAAATATTAAAGTTCTTCCTTATGACGTTAAGGAAAATGAAAGTGACTGACGAAAAAAGGGAAAAAAGTAAAAGAAATATAAATAAAATCCACTTACCGAGAGAAATCAGTCTTAATATTACCAATCACTAACAGAGACCGATGTGCTTGGTCGTGTAAAATAAAGTCCAATCCGAGACATTAAACACAAAGTTAAAGCAATATGATACTATTCGGGGCTCTTATAATGCTGCGCTGTTTTAAGTGAAAATTGAGGCCCACCTTGCCAAGAATTTGCATCGAGAACACATGTTAGAACACATCACCTGATTGCAAAGAAATGGGGGTGTGTTACGGGTACTCCCAGGAGATGTTTGGATGATTGCAGAGGTGTGTAGGATTCAATAAATCAATCCGGAATGGCCTTTTAAGGATTTGATTTGTTTCCAATACACCTGAGCGCCTAACTGGCGATATTCACTCCCAGAGTAAGCCAAATAACATTAATAATACGCCATCGATGCGACTTCGGAGGCAGCGTGTTTCGAGAAAGCTATGTAGAAACATAAATATAAAGGAAAGAGTAACAGGAAATAAGACATATAAAAGGAAGCACAATGGATAAACTGATTTAAATCGAAGAATAAATGATGAAAAGAAGATTCTGGCCAATTACGAGATGGGTTGCGCTTGCAGAAAGCTCTCTTAATTGTAGCCAATAGGAAGCCTATATTTTTAACATTGATTTAATAAATAATTGTCAATTAAAATAAAAAATGATGATCTATATAAATATAAGGACAAACAAATTAATGGTTTTGTGACCCCATCCATGACCCTTACTCTTTTAGAAAATAACAATATTACTAACGAAAACTGATTAAAATGGGGGACAACACAGAAAAGAATTTGGGAATGCAATTGAGATTTCATGCCACAATCTGGGGCGAATTTTTACAAGCCAAAATGTGCGGTTATGTCGCCGACTTGGCAGCACTTAGAACACACAGGTTCATCGTTCAAGTGGGTCACTTATTAAAGGGCATGCTTTACTATAATTACACAGCATTTTAACGGTCATCTACATACAAAAAAATGAAAGGTAGGTCAATAGACCTCTAACAGACTCACACAACGAATAACCTCCCAGACAACGACATTTTATTGAAAGAGTTAGCCATTTTACTCTCCACGATACAACCAAGATACAGGATTATTAACAAATGTGTAGATATGACTGTGCTTGGGAAGGGAGGGGGGATTTGTTGAGCTTTGGAATGAAGGGGGAGGGGGATAGGTAAGATTGTATGTGTGCCTGAGTATGCAAGTGTGGGTGGTGTGTCTGTCTGTCTGTGCGTAAGGCCGCTTTGATTTGTAATATTCATTCAGTATAATTAATTTGTAAAACATTATGTACTGTGTATTAAACTATACAATGTATTTTTGAGGGATGTACAATTTTCTTTATATTTTGAGATGTTATGTAAATCAATGAAGATGTATGTTTTTTTAAATATATTTTGTACTAAATGAATACAATAAAGAATGCTTCAAAACAAAAAAGATAATACTGTATCTCTTTTTATATTTAGATGACGGGAAGTGTTGAAATAAAAAAAAATCAAATAATATCAGGGAATAAATTACAAGAAACAAAAAGTAGAAAAGCTGAAATACACATAATGTAGATTCTAATGCAGGGGAGACTTAAATAGTTATTAAAAACAATATTTCTCGACAATCACATAGCTACATGGTGGCACGCGGCCCATCGTCCGTCGAAAACGTGAGAAACAAAGAAAAAAGGGAGAGGGAGCGAGAGGGAGAGGGAGAGAGAGAGAGAGAGAGAAAAGAAGAAGAAGAATGGGAGGGAAAAGGAAGCAATTTTTTGGTTTACACCTTTGATTGTGGGACCTATTTCATTTACCGAACAAGGCCGGTATCGCCCCCAACCCCGTAGTGGCTGCTCGGAGTGGCTGGACCCATTCCACGGCGCGTATGGACGACCTTTATGACCTAGGAAAGTGGGGGAGGTCGATAAATAGCTCTTCTGAATGAATAAGGTTGAATTTACGATATAACATTTTCAGTCGATATGACAATATTTTACGATGACCTTTCCAAAAGACCGAGTTGAGATTTAATTAAAAAAAAAACACAACAACAACAACAACAAACAAGCCAACCCTGAAAGCTTCAAGTAGAAACCAAAAGTTAAGACTTACTATAGGCTATTTGATGTTTTCTTCATATAATTTAATAGGTTTATGTCAAAACATTCTCACACATAAATTGTTCATATGGTTTATCCCCAGAAAACGCTGATAACCCCAGAATACTATACGAGACATACAATTTTAATGATTAAATGATTAAAAGCATAAGCGGAGGGAGGGGGGGGGGGGGGGCATGATGTAGCATTAAGGCCCGCGTGGAAGTTAGCAATGTCAATTCAAAGTTACAATTTAATTATTCAATATATCGGCATTCCTGTAAGTATGATGAATCTTGTTAACCACGTGAGCAGTCACAAGGTGACAGGTCGACCTACTTTCATCTAGAAAAGTCGACAATTACCCTCCCATAAGCATCAGATTTCGAACAGACAAGGAATTTGTAAAATATTTGGCAAATAAGGGACAATATGTAATTAGGTTTGTAGACTAGGTTTGCAACATCATGGTACGTGTTAAAAATAATGTTCCACATTGTTAAAATATTATATTGTGCAATATAGAATATAAAACTGGCGGGTCAATTATTTTGGAAAGCTTTAGCCGAAAACACAATCATTTAGTGTTGAAATAAAAATTTGCCCTTGTTGTGTTTCTCGGTTTTATTAAAAGTGTTTAAGAAACGCATTTGCAGTAAAAGGATGACCAAATCACTTTCAAAAACTAATAACATTGATAGAATGTCGCTGTAATACTGAATTATAGTATTTAGGATTAATCTTTCGAGAATCACCTTAAGAGAATGATCTTTCGAGAAACCATTCAGTTGGATAAAGCACCTCAAATAAAGTACAACGCTGTTGAGGTGTCGTAAATATACCAGAGTGGTTTCCAACACCTTCTACTCTAAGTCTGATTTACATTAGCCTTTTTGCCCTCTAACATCACAATCATACTTTGAATGAAATGAATTTGTTTTTTGGCTTGGGTATAATGAGTCAGTCCTTCAACTCTAAAACAAGTAGGCTAAGACATAGTTTCTGGGTTGAACTGATAAACGTCAGTTTACGAATTGAAAATACCGAGTCAATTAATTTGTTGGCTTGAGAAGCTGATGCAGTGATAGATAACATTCCTTTGAAGTATATTAACCTCAACTTGTCTTAAACTACAACTATTTTTTTATTTTTTGTTTTTATCTAAAATTATTATTATTATCATAACTATTATCATTATTATAATTATTACAGTTATTATAATTATTATAATTATTATAATTGTTATTATTACAATTATTATTTATATTATTATTGTCTTCACTGTAGCTACTAGTGTATATGTACGAGTGTCGTGGCTGACTGGTTTAAGGCGCTTGACTGGAGAAGCGAAGGTCGAGGGTTCGTATCCCGACACGGCACAAAAATCCTTTGGCAAGACGTTATCCTGCACTTGCTACTCTCCACCCAGATGTCAAATGTCAAATGGGTACCATGTAGGATGCGACGGTCATTGTTGGTCAAACAGTTTTTGAGCTTCCAGTAAAAGCACTTAAAGACATCGTAGAATCATAGAATCGTAGATGTAATAAGCGCTTTATAAAAGCGGAATATTATACTATTTTTATTATTATATATATCTTTTAAATATTTTTTAGTTTTATTTTTTAAATTCACCTGTTATGAAAGATTGTATTTCAATGGTCAGAATGCGAATTGCATACCTTAATTGTTGCTAGGTAGGACACACTTAAATATAAATCTAACAAAATCAGAAGATAAAAAAAGAGAAAAAAAAACTGTAAAGTGAGATACTAAATAGTCAAATACTAGTAAAATCTTGACTAGATCTCAATTCAACGGTAGGTTATCGAATCACACCTCAAGGGTCCACTACTAGGCCTGCTGATATCGTACAGGGTGGTTATAACGGTCAGGGTGCAAATCATAATCTTTATTTCTAGTAATATGCCCGATGTGACAATTTTCTCGAAACTTTTTAACCCATTGAGTAGTTGGTTATCACATATGTTTTTCAGTCAAAATTATATAAAACCACGGTTGACAAACAATCGAGTAAGCTACATATCAAATCAAACTTTACCCGCAATATGCCAATTTCGCGATACGATTTATTTATTCACGCGTTACGAACAATTTTATCTCAATAGTCAGAATGCAAAATGCATACCATAGTTGTTGCTAGTAGGAAGGCAATATGGCTTGCCTGACCTAACAGAACGTAACATATGCAATTGTATTTTGCCTATTGTAAAATATGAACGATATAATTGTGTATCGAGGCACTTCACAAAGACGTATGCATTAAATTGGGTAACATTACGAAAATGGCCTAAAGAGTACCAAAGTGCTAACGTCACATTCGCTCGTCGTCCGTGTAACTGGTCCTAAACAATAGAGCCTGCGCATGAGGTTCACCGCGAAATCAGTCAAGCAACGAATTGGGCAAGTGTTTGGGGCTGTTAAACCATAGAGTACCGAGGTGTGACGTCATATTAGCCAAGTTGTCAAAATAGCTGGTTCCAAAAAATGGCGTGGAGATCACACTAGCGGAAAGCATGGAGTTTGCCCTGATCCAGCCCGTTGCTTGAATGATGTCGCGGTGAACCTCATGCGCAGGCTATGTTGTTTGGAGCCATTAACCGAGACGACGAGTGAAAATGATGTTAGCACTTTGGTACTCTATTGACATGGACTCCAACTTGAAAATTTGATGAATGTAATTGTTCGTCGAGGAGCATTCAACTAACAAACGAATGTTTCAATCAAGGTTGAATTGAATCCATGTATTTGAATGAGTCCCTTTTAACGTATGCGATGGTGCCTCTGGAATGCTTGAAAGGCATTCAACTCACACCACACTGTCATTATGCCATCAGCTCTTTGATTAATCTCCTGCTAATCACATTTAACGCCATTCTCCAATCATTGTGTCATGGTCTAGTTGACATCTTCGTAGCGGCTTAACGGTCATTATTGTTATTTTGATGTGCATGAACATGACTTGTTTCTTAGGTTGTGCGCCCTAACGTACAAACTGATCGTGCTACCCTGCAGTGCTGTATTGGAATATTACTGTAAAAAACATTGACCAGCATACGCGTTCAATCTCCGTCGATGGAATGGAAAATATAACGACGATATCATTGCCGGAAGACGAATCATTCATAGATAAAAACATCGTTGATGCTCCGACATCAGTCCTGGGCAATACGACTATCACGACCCCGGGAAGTATGGTCAATCCGACATCGACCTCCAGAGTTGGGAGTGTTCCGCCAACGATGGATATAATTGATAATGATGTCACAGTTGTTAACACCACTAGTCATTTGGATAGCAAGGTGGAAATCGCCCACGTCTGGGCTTTGTGGGGCGTGGTCATTGCAGCTGGTGTGTTGGTTGTCGTTATATTACTCGTTCTTTCCTTCCGCTGCTTCGCCTTCGCGCGGAAACCGAAGCCTCACGAGGGCCGAAAACCCGGTCGACGTATCTCGAGATTTCGGCCAGGGACGCCCAAACCCACCACCCGGTCCGGAGCGGTGATGGCAGACCATAAAAGCGTGAGGAAGAACTTCTTTCACAGTCTAGAGCGAGGGGACGTGCAAGCGCGGCGTCAAGAGGCGACGCGTCGCTGGCTCACCGGCAACCTGTCCACGTCCTTACAGTACATCGACGGGTCAGGAAGCGGTGGTCAGCAAAGTCAGATCGGCCTTGAATGCATCCCGATGTACGAGACATCGCATCGGCACACAGGCCTAGATCGAATCCCTGAGAATAGAGAAGTACAGCAGGAGTATACTTTCATTCGATCCCCGAGAGAGCATGGCAAAGCACACGTAGGACGCCCGATCTTACATCGTCACTCCAACGACAACGTCAATGAATTCGTCCGCGTCATCCCGCTCAATGTTATCCGGGATGAGAACGCGAACATCGCTCTGTCTCCGACGGATTACCATCAGGACCACAACCATTACCCGCGACCACGGTGGAACACTGCACGACGACCGGTCACCCATTCCCGCGTCTTCCCTCACGCCGTCCGAGCAGTGTCTTCAGAACCACCACGATTCCCGACGAGCAGACGACATTATATCATAGACGGCGGCAGATATCCCGAAACCAGAGGACATAGCAGAATGCGACATGAGGCAGGTCAGAGGTTAAAACATCCGAAGCTTCCCAAGTTCAATCTTGCAGGCGAGGCCATCATAACATCTTCTGACCCAAGTGCGAATGGAGGCCCTAAAGGTGCTGAATTTCCCTCCATATGGGATGAATTGAGCTTTGAGAATACAGTATTTGAGGTAAGGCATTCAGAATCGTGCTTTTCAGCGACACAAGCTATATCAATTATATTGTCGTTAACTTTATACCTTAACAGATATTAACAGATAAAAACCTAGGATTCTATGCCTGAATTACTCTTTTACTCATTTATTTCAAGGCAAATATATATGATAATGCCTGTGACATTATTATAAACCAGTGGTTAATGGATGAACGTCTCATTAAATATATGTATATGTCAGGTGATTATATCAATTACACAATTAAATATTATTGATACATAGATAATTTATGTAATGTCATTGTAATAGGCTTAAATAGGCTACTTCGTGCTCTTTGATTTCCACCAAATATAATCAACTAAATATTGATGGCAAAAGAGAACTCAATAATTAGAAACCAACAACTTTTAGTGGCAAGTGGTGTGAATAGTGGTTGAAAGACGATTCGTTGTACCTTTCTCGACTCATAATCCTTATCTGAAATCAATTTCCTCCCCTCCCGCCCAAAGCGCGGAAACTTTGAAGTTTCATTAAATTATTAGACAAAGAAGACGATTCGTTGTTCCGTTCTCGACTCTTAATCCTTAATTTGAACTTAGTTTACCCCTTTCCGCGCGAAGCGCGGAAGCTTTGACGTTTCATTAAATTATAAGAGAAAGAAAACGATTCGTTGTACCGTTCTCGACTCCTTTTCCCTTTTTCTTCCTACGTCGTCTTACTTTTCTTCTTCTTTTTCTCTCTCTCTTTTTTCTTTGGCCGGCGTTTTTTTTTTTTTTTTTTTTTTTTTTTTTTTGGGGGGGGGGGGGGGGGGCGCCCGCCCCCACCACCCCCTGGCTACGCGCCTGCCCCCCCCCCCCGCATACGCTTCTGATATGCATGTTTCTTTTCTCTACTATACCATCAGCCGGCGACTACGCCAACACCTCGACTCGTAGTACCGACCAACTCACCGGAGACCGAAGACTCCTCATCGCATTCACAGGACAGCCTTAACGGAGTTAGTGCCGGATTAAGTCAGTGTAACGTGTCCTCGGATGCCAGTTTGACGGTTACAGTTGGAACCAGTAAGAAAACATCATTCGAGTGGGACTTTTATGATCCGGGCTACTCCAACCAACCGATCCGGTTCGTAAATGGAGCGTATGTACCGGTTATTGGCTGCAAGCAATATTGGGTTTGATCAGTAGACGATACTTCTACAATCCGGACTATAATATTATACATGAATTAGGATGTTCAACAAATTATCCAATTAGCAATTGGCATCGATTAGCACCCGTTATTTTCTTCACATATATGATATTTGGTTTAGTCTACTTCATAAGTGCCGGTATTCTATTCTACAAGCAATGTAATCAGATTACTCGTTACAGTGTTTGATATGTGTTTGTGATTATCTCGGTTTGAAGATCCGGCGTACAATAATCAACAGACCCGATTGGCCAATTAGAATATCATGGTATCTAAATATAAATATGTAATATGGATATTTGCAATATCAACTAGACTGTTTATTGAATGAATGTTTATGTTTTGCAGCAATATTTGATTTACTGGCCAAGTTTGGTCATCTAAAAGGCATTTCATCTCAAAGGTTATTCAGAGTTTTTGAATACCGAGTCTCATCAGCAGTTTCTGAAGAGAAAAGAATTCTGTCAGAAGTGATTGATTGCTTTTGTCCCCTCTAACACATTGGTAATATATGTGTCAATGGTATTGAATACTAATACGACTTCTTTCCACTCTGAATTGTATTTTTCAATATTGAGCTTTACGTGTAGTGCAAGATATGCGTCTTTAAAGAAACAAATTAAAAAAAAAAAGGATATTTAAAATATCCTACTTAGCATTTGAATCTGTATCCAAGGAAACACGTCATGAAATGACCAAATGTCCTTATTATCATAAAATGATGCATCGTATTTTTTTTTCAGTTTATAAAATAAAACTTTCATTGGTCGAGTATCTAGCACATAGTCATTATTCTATCAAAAATAAGCACAGTAAGAATTTAGATCAGGAGGTTATTCGTTTGTCAAAGATTAATGATGACAGAGAAAGAGAGAGAGAGAAGAGAGAGAGAGAGAGAGAGAGAGAGGAGAGAGATTGAGAGGAAAAAGAGAGGACAAAAAAGAGGAAGAGAGAGAGAATAAACAACAACAAAGAAACAGAGACCTAAAGAGAGAAAGAGAAAGAGAGAGAGAGAGGTCCGAAATTGAATGTGTATGTGGGCGTGTGTGTATGATGGAAAGGGAAATTGATAAGATGAGAGAAAGAGAGATGCAGATTAGAGAAAAGTGTGAAAGATATTTATGTTAAAGAAAGGACGAGAAATATAATATAATCAAGACACATTAAACAGATAGATAGAGAGAAAAGAGAGAGAGAGAGAAGTGGGGGGGGGGGGGGGGGGAGGCAGACAGATACTGGAAAAACGGATAAGGGGTTGGGGGAGCGGTAGTGAATATGACTAGTATTACTAAGGAAAAAGAGATGAAGAGAGAGAGAGAGAGAGAGAGATAGAGAGAGAGAGAGCGTGACAGTAAACACTGTTTTCATCAATTTCTTGTTAAAAAGTCTTCCTTCAAAGTTTTGAAGTTCTAACCATTGGCATAATGTCTTCTGCTACCAGACACATGCGTTTGTTGAATTAAATGTCAGATTTGGCCATGTTGCCTTTAATGATTTTGGGAGCGTTTTTTACGAGGACTAATGCTTCAAAATATTGATATTTTTGATACATCGAATCTCTCTCTCTTTCTCTCTCTCTCTCTCTCTCTCTCTCTCTCTCTCCTTCCCCCTCTCTCTCTCTCTCTCTCTTTCTTTCTCTTCCTTTTCTTTTCTTCCCTTTCTTCCCAGTCTCTTCTATCTCGCCTTCTTGTCCGGCCCCGTAAAACAAAGCTTCATAATTGATCACAAGATTAATTTTTCGCAATTTATTGCACATGGTTATTTCAATCAGTCGCAAAAATCAATCGTACGATCAATTACTAATATTTGTATTTCGGGGCCCCCGATCTCTCGTTATATCCAGTATGTGGCATGTGGCGAGTTTCAAGAGTTATACAGAATACATGCACAATATTATTCTCACCTGCCCCCCCCCCCCCCACCTTGCCAAGACATGTGCAAGATACTAGTACGTTTGATGTGTCAATGTTGTACTTGTATTTTCAAATCAGGAACAAAATCGTACAGGTTATGTTCAATCATTATCCTTGGAAAAAAAAAGAAAAAAGAATGCCGTTGTTGCTTCCTTAAATAATACATACTAAGACGTATTCTCTGCATTCAATGCGTTTAATCACTATAGGAAAAGAATTTACAATTATTTCAGATGATTTCACCATTTATTATTCATCCGGTTTGGAATTTATTGATTCATACTCGTCATGTAATCTGCGCATATAAGTGCATCAAATTAATGGTTGCTTTTGATAAATTTTCATCTGCAGACCACATGAAGCTTTAAATCGGAGTTTCAATCATGGTCAAATTAATCTACATCATAATCATGCATGCAGGAATTCATGGTCAAATTGTGGTCAAGTAATTTACTCACTATTATGTATGTATGAGTTTATGTCACCATTATTATCGCTCAATTCTACCCCAATTAGTACTTTTTATCCCTATCATGATGATGTATTCGACATGGGCGTTGTTCCCCCGTATCTTTACGGCGTATACGTGAGGACATGAAGACTGCCGTCGGAGTATGCTGGTACGAAGACCTCGACATAGTCATCGCCATCGACGTCGCGGACCGATGGGGCGCCAACGGTCCCGCTCTCGGCCTCGAAGATGGCGGTCTGGGTGTAACTCCAGTTGTTTGAGTTGGAATCGCTCTCGGCTTCGAAGACATAGATGGTACTGTCGTCATCACCCGTCAGCATGATTTGGGGCTTATTGCTAGCGCTACAAGTATTAAAAGTGTTGGACTTATAGTAAGAAGTCGTAGCAATAAGCATAAAACATGAACAAATGTATGCCTTTTTCTCACTGATCTACGATATTACCCAAGCGCATTGATCTATTTTTTGTTACAAGGCCCCTTACAAAAATTTTTTAAAAAATACCGAAAGTAAAACATTGTCTTTAATTATCTACTCGACGAAATATCCATGGTTTTATCTTGCTAACCAAATCAGATTAGTTTTGTTGTGACATTCATTTTGAAATGTACAATACAGATCCCTGCGAGAACCGACCTCTCCCACTCTTTAACCATGCTGTATTATATCTTAAAACATATCAATTATATTACTTTGATTTAATCAATTCAAATAAAATCAAATGAAATCAAGTATATCCACTGTAAAAACAACAAATATAGATCGATGACAAACGTATTTCTTACTATGGGCGTTCCCAACTCAAGCTATGCTCTTCGGGTTACATTGTGTTTCATATTGTACCGTTGAGAAGGAAATAAATGTTACTAAATGCAAATACAAAATACAAATTTCTGTGAACAAAAATACCTCACCTTTCTTTCAGGTTTGGTCTGAATGTAAAGGTAGTACCGGGTGAGCCCATGCCCTCTGTCACGATCCGACCATGAGGCTTGAACCCCTCAGCTATCAGGTGTCTGGTCCACGTACCTGTAGCCCAGTCATCGGGCATCTCATAAACCACCACCTGACCGTTTGTCATGCTGTAACAATAATAATCGTTCTGTTACCATTCTGTAATCATTCTGTAATCATACTGTAACAATATTACAGATCAATCCATGTAATAGAAGCAATAATAACGATATTAATAATAGTACTACAAGTAATAATGATAATAATGATACATGTAATGATAACAATGATGGTAATAATAATAATAATAATAATAATAATAATAATAATAATAATAATGATAATAATAACAATAATAATAATAATAATAATAATACGTATACTAATTATACTAATACATGTACTAGTACTGACACTAATACTTGTACTAATACTAATACTAAAACTGTAACTTTTAATAAAAATACTACTATTATTACTACTACTAATACTGCTAATTCTACCACTACTTTTACTGCTACTACTATTAGTAATTAGTATCGAGTAATAATGATAATGAAAATTAACAACTACATTTGAAATGTGCTCAAGCCCATCCCAAGATATGCTCAAGGTACTATATTTGCTACACCTGGTTTGAGTGTAGCAAATATTAAGCAATTCCTTGGCAAAGAACTTTAATGCCGAGGCCAGGACTCGAACCGCTAACCACTTTCAGGAGTTGTATCAACGAGGCCATATGACATTTCGTCTTGTCGCTAGGTCAGATAACCACGGAGCCGTTATCAGGAATTCATGCACAAGCTTTTGAAAGAAGTGTGCGTGCTTACTGAAGTGTATATTTGCAAAAAATTGAAGTGCAACAGCCAATTTTCGTAATGTAAACAAATTTAATACATATAAGTCTTCGTGAAGTGCCTCAAAACAAATTATTTCATTCACCTGATAAGAATAATAGCATTTCAATAGTTAGAATGCAAACTGCATATATTAAGTGTTGATAGGTAGGGCAAACCATAATGTTTATCCTAAATGTATGCAGTTCGGATTCTGTCTGGACAAATATTATTCCTCTTAGGTAAATGAAATGGTTTGTTTCGAGGCACTTCATTAAATTTGGTTACATTACGAAAATGGCCTAGGTCAAATGGATGATCAAATGGTGCAAGGTATTTTCGTTGAAAGTAGTATAAACATTCCTTCCGTGGTTAATTATTGTAACATTTCTAATTTTGGTAATTTGGTGTAAAAGTTATTTTGGCGAAAGGTACGAAACCAAGTTTTATTGGTGTTTAAATTCCAAGAAAGAACTTTGTACTGACGGCTTCAGTGCCTCTTTAGAAAGTGGGTGTCAAGCCCCCTTCACACCGGATCTGCGTAGAGTTGCGTAGAGTGGCGTACCGACTCCGCCGAAATTAGGCTGCGTATTCATGAACAAAAATGTTGCTTCTGTGTAGTCCCTGCGTAGGTTATGCGTAGGCTCTCATACGATGGCGTATGGTTGCGTACCCTGTGCATAGGCGTACCTACGCGTAAGATTGCGTACATCAAGCGTAGGGTTGCTTACGTTTACATAGGCCTGGCTTACAGGTTTGTTTACGGTTGCGTACGGTTGCTTACTGCGTGCGCAAGCTTTTACTGCTTCGTCGGACTGGCGTAGGGTAGCGTACTATTGCTTAGGCTTGATGTACTGTAGCATAGTGTTGCCTAGTGTTGCGTAGACTTGCGTAAAAAATGCGTACTTTCTGCGTCTAGTGTCTACGCCAAAAGCGTCCATCTCGCGTACCCCTTTGCGTCCCTCAGCGTACAGTTACGTAGGCCAGGGTAGGGCAGCGTACGCCCGGCGCAGTCGGTACGCAACACTACGCAACTCTACGAATGGCCCGGTGTGAAAGGGCCTTTAAGCTAAACACAACCTCAAAGGTCCTGAATAACTTGATAAATTGACAAGTTCGATGTTTCGAACTGCGTTTAAACGGAACGTTTTAGCAAGAATTCACTGGACCTCACCTATTGATCGAGACCAGGAGATCCAGATTGCCATCCCCGTTGATGTCGACGATCTGTCAAAAGAGAGAGAGAGAGAGAGAGAGGGGAGGGAGATGAAGAGGGGGCGGAAGGAAGGACAGAAAGAGCAATAGAGTGAGAGAGAGAGAGAGAGAGAGAAAGAGATGTCTGTTACTTATGAAAATTTGAGAAAAAGATATACAATCCCAACATAATTTCTACAGGCGATACAATATGGTCTAACAGTTGCCCCAAAGTTACTTTGGTTGCAAAGGTTTTCGCAAAGGTCCTGGCGATCGTGCTATAGCTAAACTTTCAATTCCATGCAAACGGAAATGATACATGACTCAATCAAGGAAGAAATGCTTGCCGTTATAAGAGGCGGATGAAATAATAGCAGACATGGAAATACTGCACACTTCCTTTAGGTTGAGCTAATAATATTTACAATGAAATATCTTTTGCCTAAATAAGTAACCAAGCAAAATAAACCCTAAAACTATATCCTTGCGAACACAAAATGTCAAAACCTCTTCACAAAATCATTAGCAGAATTTATAACTACTTTGCTTCGCTTTGTACTTGATTAAAAAAAAAATATTGTAGTTAGTTAATAAAGCACAAGGTATAGATGTTCCGAATAAAAACATCGGTCCCTACGAATTCATGAGGCCTCGTTCAGACCTGACGCGGCGAAACGGCGGTGGTTAAAAAATAAAGTAAAGTGAATGCGCGCATGACCTGTGTTACGCGCAGTTGCAATTCATTTACGCGCACCTCCATTTTGTTTGTGTCGGTTTACCGCGTCAAATCTGAACAGGCCTTTACTTTACCTCGGCATCGAAGTAACGATAATCAGTTATCGCTTCGATCACGCGACTCTCCATGTTCTTAAAGTCTGGTCCAGCTGAAAATATTTTTCAAAGATGAAATATCTCAATGGTAAACGTTTTGATATAAAGCAATGAATTATACAAGCAAGTACATTAGAACGTTATTATTATAACTGTTATTATTATTATCATCAATATTAATATTATTATTAATATTAATATCATTATTATTAATATCATCATCATTATCTTTTGGTTTCACAGTTCGTCCTTGTTTTCACGAAGTGACGGTAGTGAGGAAAATCGTCACGCAAAGTGAATGCAATCTTTTTCACTACCGTCACTTCGTGAAAACAGCGACGAATTTTTAAAGATACTATGTCCCTTTTGCAGCCAACATCGAATTCGGTATAACTTTGCAGGAATTATAAATATATATTTTTTTAATAATATTTTTTCCCCTTCCACAGGGTTCTTTATTTTCAAAACAAGTTTCATCATATACAGTATATCCATATATCATATACAAATAATTAAATAAATAATTTCCATACATAATGGCTTAACACAGATAATAATCATCACGGCCGAAAAAAATTGTGACTTTTGTGGAATTATAAATATGTCATGTATGTCCTATCTGTGAAATTTAAACGTTAGCAGTGTCTTAATATTCAAATTATGTAAAGAAACCCGTTTACTTGCTAGACTTCACTGTGAGACGCTATTGAGTGACTGACTGGCCTTTTTTCTTCTTTGGTAATAACATACATAAAATGAGCTGTAAAGGGTACATGAGCATTTGTCTATAACGCTAACACACCTCTTGTAATGGCCAAAATTAAACTGATTGAATCTTTGCGCAACGTACGACCATTCGGTACAATGGTCTGAAAATCAGACTATTACTTACTGGCTCTATAGCTCTTAAGTCGATTCGACAACTAATAGTCGTTATTTGCCCAGTTAAAGACATTTTCAAGCCCCTCCTTTTTTTTAGAGAAGTCCTAAATTAATATTATCTTTCAAATGCCGTAGGAATTTAACCTTTTCATGTTTTGGCCTGCAAATGGGACATAATGCCTTTACTGTAGCTGCATGGTTCCAAGTAACTGAGGATATCTATATCATTGTATTTTATTAGATGCATTTGCTATACTACCTATTAACATTGTGATGCTTACATAACACATCTTTATGCGTAAAGAAGAAGATAATCTCTCTCTATGTATATAATATATCTTGTCAAGCGGTACGACATTAACATCCTAAGACACACCAATGAGACCGACTCCAGACTGGCCGTATCCGGACACCTACCCCTGGACATCCATCCCCGGATAATCACCCTCAGCCAACTACCCCTAGGACAATTACCCCCTATAAAAACTACCCCCTAATACAACTACCCCCTAGGGCAACCATCCTCTAGGACGACTACCCCGCGGGACAACTACCCCCGGACAACTATCCCCTAGGACAACTACCCCCGGACAACTACCCCCGGAAAACTACCCCCTAGGACAACTACCCCCTAGGGCAGCCACCCAACGGACAACTACCCTCGGACAACTATCCCCTAGGACAACTACCCCCGGACAACTACTCCCGGAAAACTCACTGGAGCCCGAAGCATCGGACCATGACACGACCAGTTTCTCAGCGAAGTACTGGCAGCTGAAGATAGCATGCCGAGTGACTGAGGAGGACATCTCTAGCTCTTCATAGCGGAACAGGGCATCCGGTCCCTCGAATAGTGGTTCTACAGCCCATTGACTGGTGATAGCATTACGGCTCGGCTGCTTGAAATAAACCATCTCCGCAAGGACGTTGCTCATATCGGCTTTAAGAAAAGCCGAGTGGGGAGGGGAATAACAAACAAGTCAAAAATTAAAAAAAATTAACATTTGGGAAACTTTTGTTTCGAGGTTAAATCTAACTGATATTGGGAAAATTTGACTTTAGTATTTTTAAGAACTCATTATTGGGTTAAATCTTACCATAAGAACATGCATATTTCCTTTTACAAACCCAATTACGGGTAAATTTTACCATACTAATTTCAGAGTGTATATTGTGCCTTTAATGATTAACTAATTGGTAGTAGTAGTAGTAGTAGTAGTTTATGACTCGTCTAGCGCGAGTCTTATCTATGGTGCCATGATTTAATCAAAACTAATTGAAAATATGCATCAGGGTATAAACAACGTGGAGTGGAATTTAAAAACACTTTCTCGTGTACAAATTTGATTTCTTTTCGCTACGTTTGTAATTTTCATTTACATTCACTATTTTATTTAATATAGACATTTTGATTATCTAAGTACGAGTGAAAGGTACGAACATTGGTGACAGTTTAAAGAGTTCGAGTTGTTTCTGAAGGGGTAAGATATAGCTTACAGGTGTCAGCCCGAGCTGTGAGTATGTCTTTCCTGCCGTCACCGTCAACATCGACGAAGTATACACGATGATACCACCAATTCTCACTGGTAGATCCACTGGTAAGGTCGTGGTAGGGAGCGGGATCCGCTGTAACCATGGTAACAAGAACACATCATCATCATCATCATATTGCTGTATGAGTGATAACTAAAGACACGATTGATGCTACAAAATAGTAGAATAACAGAGAATAAAGACGCCCTTATATGTATAGAGCAGTTTTGGAGACGCCCCCTCTCAACAAATGGAATGGAAGCCCTTATTACCAATCATGTGAAAGAATATGTGTTGCCTAATACGTGATGATACAAATTTTGCCGGGAAACCGCCTACTAATTGATATAGCCTATTTGGTAAATTATCATATCGATCCGGCCTGGATAGATATCGCGAATGCACTTCAACATTGAATATTTTGGCATAGATTTCTGTTTTTTTTGCGAATTTAGGTTGAAGTTTTGCTATCTAAATCTCTGAAGACAATATCTAAACAATATTGAATGGATATTTTGCACGCAAAACCCTTGAACCGCAATGTTACCACTACCGGTCTTTACCTTTAAACTCTTCGTCTTGCACTCATCAGAGTAAACCGCAAAAATGAATGCCTTAAGTTTCCCATTGATTTTCTGGCAGCTTACCAGAGCTGGTTACCCCCCCCCCTCCCTCCCTGGCGCGCTGCGTTCTTTTAATTTTCGTTTACATGCCCTTTTCGTCTTTCGGCTTTTCTTTTTTTCCTGTTTATTCATTCAATCCAAAGGTTGAGGGTTCGAATCCTGGCACCAGCAAGAAGAGCAGTATTAATACTGATACTGCTACCCTTGGTAAAATAAGACCCAATTATTATTATTATTATTATTATCAATATTATTATTTTGTATTATTATTAATAATATTATGTAACACAGAGTTAACGCCCTTCTGGCTTCTCAACAGAAGGTCATTTATATAAACATAATAATATTATTATTAATATAATTATCATCATAATTTATCATTATTATCATTAACCAGATATTGTCATTTTGGGTAATACCTGACGTGTCTTGGTGTGCCTCTATGAGTCCAACACTTCCGGCTTGCTTGGTCGGGACGAGGAATCCGTTTGCTACCCACCAGTACATATCCTTTCCAAAAACATCCTCTGTAGATTAAAGAGAGAAAACACCAGATTAATATTATATCCCCATGTCCGCTCAGAGCCAGAAAGGCATTAACTCATATCATGTAACACGAAGTTAACGCCCTTCTGGCTTCTCAACAGATCGGTTATTTAGTTCCATTTTTTAAAGAAATAATTGCTTCTTTGGTTTATCATGATAATTTGACATATTGTGTTTTCACCTCATAATTAGAACTTATTCAAATAATATTACAAACATTGCATAATTTCTTGATTCAAGTCACCCGTCTTTCGAAGAGAAAGTATAATTAAACTGACATTTGGGTGACAAGATTTGGCTGAATATCTAATAATATACAGTGCGTCCCAGAAAAAAAAAAACGAAATTGAGAATTATCGATGTTTTATCATAACTTAATCACAATTATAATCAATAAATGACACATATTTGTAAAGCTCAGATCCTCTTCTTTCATTTGATGCAACTCATATGATGTACATTTTATGCATGAGTGATTAAAAACAATTTGAAGAGAGGGTACCAAAAAGTCACTTGGCGGGTAGTATCTAAATTCTAAAGAGAAAATCACATTTCTAGAAAGTTCATTTGCTGCCTTTTCATATGATACCTCAATCAGGAAAAATGAGCCAGAAATAACAAAGTTCTATTTTTTTTAAAGTAATGCTTGCATTTCCATAATTTGATATCCATAATTTGATATCAAATAGCTTTAAAATGAAGAAAAAAATGTTGAAAAACATCGAATAATACTTGATGGATTACAAGGGCTGCTTTGTAAAAGTATGTGTTTGTTCGTGCAAATATTTCCTCCACTTATGAATGTCATTTGTATAGCTAGGACTGTTGGAGTAATCACTTGCGAACACCTCAAACCTTATTTTCCTTACTAAGGGTTTTGCAAAGGGCTTTGCAAAGGGCTTGAAGATTATTTGATAGAGAGCTCTGGTCCTTAATTATAGTTGACATAGTACAAAATGTTCATAAAGCAAGTAGAGACGAGTTATGATGTTATTAATCTCAGATTTCGTATAATTGCACAAGGTCAACTCCTGTTAATTTGCGCCAGGCGCTTTAATCTTTGGCATTGGCCGAGTGGAACTTGTGCCACGCCAGACAAAGTACCGCTTTGCACTTATTTACGAAATCTCTCTCGCAATAAGCCACATTTATAGCCTATTGAGGCTCGTTCACATAATTATGACGCTGTATACATGCTAAACCCAAAATTCACTAAACGTTGTATTAAAATAAACCGCCACGATTTATCGCTGCGTATCTAAACAAGGCTTTAATGAATTAATTCTAAAATCATTAGCATTCAATAATAATACTGGTCTAGTGAAATAGCTGTTATTAATTCGTTACTTATGAACTTTACCAGGAACGGGCTCAACTTCGTTTGGCCACAGCAGACCATCAACGAGTATTTCTTTTTCCAGATTGTTGGCTCCTCTTGAGGCCAGCTGGCCACCGATGTCTCTAATCACGTACACAACATCTGTAGACAAAGGAGTTGGGTTGAATGTACTCAGTGAGAGATCGTACAAGTCAGGATTCGAATTGTGATGAACAGACGAGAAGGCAGCGTAGTCAGCGGGAATACTTCCAAGTTCGACGTATTGCCCAGCCAGAGCGCCGGGCATCGAGACGAGGAGAGCCCCGATGAGGCTTAGAAGAAGACAGAACATCTTGGATTCGTTGATAGTGTTCCAGACAACGCGCACGCGGTAGAAATGAATTTGATTGTCTTCATATCTATATTATATTAACGAATATCTGATAACCACACCTGATATTATCTCAACGTATCTCTTAACAATGAGACCTTTCCCCTCTTGAAAGATAACGATAAATGGCAGCTTTGATATTGCATTAACCTTTGTAGACATATTAAATTATTAAACTCAACTCAACTTTGCATGAGGACAGTCGACATGATGGGTGTGGTTTTGTCAATTCATCTTTACAATAGGGGATCGGGGAGGTGAGGGGGGTGGGGCAGAATACGCCATGATTTAAGAAGTTATTTGTTGGAAGACAAAGTTAATGCCTCGTTTATCATCATTCACTTAACTTAAATTTTAGTAGTTGTAAAAATGATATCGAAAATATTCAGGGATAACAAGTTGATAAAAGCGGTTATCATATCCGGGCTCTAATCGCCTACCCGGAGGACTGCATGTTTTAGCCTATTCCCTGACATTAGGGGAAAGTTGTCCGAGGGTGAGATTTCTGTGTTAGTTGCCAAAATGGGGGTATTACACTAGTGTGTGTGTGGCACTTTGGGGGCTGAAGCGCCATTCACGCGCCGACGGCTCCCCCTCCCTCCCCCGAAAAAAATAGAAAGAAAAAGAAGAAAAATAAAGATGCTTGCTCCTTAAAGATTTTAGGACAAGAAGAAGTAGATAAAATGTGGCTCGGCAATCTTGATTGTGGTTGAAACAGAGCATCTAATATACCTAAGATCAATATGTACCATGTCAGATTGAAGGAAATGAATGAATGAATGAATGGAGCTCTTTGCTCAAGCTTTCTTTAATTTGTCTTTAATTTTTGTGGGATGCTTTCAGTAAACTTAAATGTATTCCTTAATTGCAAGTTGTAGGGCCCTTTTATGTGACAAGTAAATGCCTGACTATCATTTTTTGCATATTGAGAAGTCCCCCGTTAGGAAGCAATGTAATGAAACGTCCGCACCTCGCCCCACACCCTCCCCGCCTACACCCGCCGCAACTTCAAACCCCCACTGCCCCTCCCCCGATAGACGTCAGACGTCTGCTGCCTCAGTCACACCTTTGCGTATTGGGTTTGCGTATTGCTGCGTATTACCCGAACGCAGACAAAGGCAGTCATACCCAATAACGCGCAATAAAACGTGCTCACTACGTACTCAATACGCAGACTAGCGCATATGCCTGCGTTGGTCGCTCGCTAGTTTTAAAATTTTCTAAACTATCGCAAGCAAACGCAAGGTCAAATCGCATACGAGCGGCAACGAGTGGCTACCAGTGAATGCGAGCGACAGCGAGTGGCTTAGCGCAGGTAAACGCAATCATACGCACCTCTTTTTTGGAGCACGTGTAGCTGCGTTTCCTGCACGATTTACCTCGCTTTAGCTCGTGTCCATACGCATGATTGCGCGTATTGTTGCGCTGTTGCTCGCACATCGCTCGCAGCAGCAAGAAAACCTTGCGATTGCCGCTCGGTACGCTGCGAGTCTAGCTCGTACGCTGTTCGCTTTAGCTCGCAGTCGCTGGTTGCCGCACGCTTTAGCTCGCTATCACTGCGATTAGTTGCCTATGCGCTGCGTATCTGCAATATAAGGCGGGGCGCCTCACGGGTTGGAATCATACCGCAGTCAACATTTGAAGAATATACAACTACTGAACAAGAAGATGCCGAAAGCCAAAACGAAATAGGGGGTGACGACGAGGACGAAACCAGCCGAGCCGCCTAGGTCCCATCGCCCCCGCCGGCCCCGGAGTCACGACCGCTGGATGAACACGAGGAAACGAACGTGGCGAAGAAGCCGCGGAAAGACCTAGTCAACATCTCAAGTGACCAAGAGAAGGAGCTTGCCTATACCATGGTCCTGACGGTTGAAGGGGTTTGTCGGAGAGTGGTCAGCAGGCACTGAAATCGGTTGGTAAGAATGCAGAAAGAATTCTCCACAAACGTCCTTGCCCTGGCCGGTAGTTGTAAATTCTATCTTGTCTAGCCATAGCCCTCCTTGCGTACGGCTTCATTAGCTATGTCGTCATGGCGAAGGTCTCGTCTCCCACAAAGAAGTAGAGGATGTCTTCATCATCGCTGGACATTGGCTCTGGCAGAGACACTCCAAGGGGTTCAGAATCAAGACGTTGTTTTAGTTCACACGAGTTGAAGAGCTCTGCATCATAGGTTTCGTATCCGACATCTATCCACAAAAATATGTACTTAGCGTCGACCAGGGCCATGAGTACAATAGAGTAGAAACCGTTGTAGTTGTAAAATATTGATCCACTATCCTCAGGGCACTTGATTTCAAAACACTTGCTTTCCAAAGCACCAAGGTTTGAGGAGAATTCCAGCGGTCTTCTAAGCCCTGTGCGACTGCTTTTCATTCCTGTGGGCTGGTAGGTCACCTCACCAGCTCATCACCGTATTCCTCCATGATGGCAGTGCATACCTCACGTACTATGCGTGAAATGGTATTGTGGGGGTACCCTGAAGCTATACATGAGTGTCTTGTAGTTGTCACCTGGCCAGTTTCAGCACGGGCGAGAGGGCTTTCTTGAAGAAGGTGTCCCACTTATCCAGTCTTTCATGTAGTCTCTGCTCTATTTAAACATTTCAGGGGTTAGCCTCAAAACGTTCGTGAATGCCTCTTGGTCCTCATCTTCCAGCTCCCTCATCAATTGGTCGAATTGTCCCTGGTCCTTCCTCCGGTAGATCCATGCAGGACCGCACCCAACAGCTCCGAGTGATACTTCGTTGAAGCAGCTCATTCAGCAGATTCCCTTGCTCATAATATTTATTCGCCTCTATTCTTCCAGCTGAACCAAAAGCTTAAAGACCGTCAATACTACTGGGCCAGAAGGGATTAGACCACACAGCGAGGTCACTGACAGGTGGCTATCTCATTAACTCAGCTCTCAACTAACATAAGAAAAAGAGGATCATGGGGGACCAACAGGCACCGATTAGGGACATTTTTTACATAGAGGGAGCTAGTAGCTACAAGTAGGACAGTGGGGCTTTAAACTTTTGCAAAGCAGACCTCTGCTGCAGGGCCATTTTTGTCATCAGATCTATGTTTCTTGTAGATGTAGAATCGTTAGAAGCTAAGATGTTTATGCCCAGTCCCGCAAAATGACTAGAATTTTTACATATGCCGCAGCCCGAACGAGCTGGTACGCTGTAGCGCGAGCTGACACGCATCAGTACGAACAACAGACGAGCTAAAGCGAGCGAACACGCAACGAGACCAACTGGTGCGAGCGGCTAACGAGCAGTAAACGAGCAGCAAACGAGCTACATACGCAACATGGCGAGCAAACTGCGTATTGAATCGTACTGCTATGAGCAACAGCGAGCTATAGCGTGGCAATAGGCAGCCGTAGGCAGTCTTTGTACGAGCGGCATACGAGCTTCCTACGAGCTAGATACGCAATAGTGTGACTGCTACCTTCAAATTTGCTGCGTATTGCTAGGCACGGCTGCGTATTGATATACCCCGCAGAGCGCAGCAATACGCAGCAACATACGCAAAGGTGTGACTGAGGCATTAGGACCCACCCCAAACTTTGCATCCCTACGACCTGATGTTCAATCTTTTTAAATTGTTCACTTGACTTGAGATTGCTCCTTTCCCACACACTCCCCGGTAGGTAGACATTTAATGGAACGCACAGACCCCGTCCCCATCCCGCCCACACCCCTCAACTTCATATTCTCATTGCGAAGCTTGAGATTAGAGAGAGAGAGAGAGAGAGAAAGAAAGAGAGAGAGAGAGAAAAGAGAGCTAAAGCCGGGTTAATAATAAGAATGTAATTTCAACTATGTCTATATGGTGTGTTTGAGAGATCGGTGTGACGTAATATTAAAGAAAATCGGATTAACTTGTTTAATCCTATGACGACACATTAGTAATTCCGTCATTTACATATGCATACATTTGCAGTTTTTTTTTGTTTAAAAGAGAGGAACAAGGATAGATGCTTGTTAGATCTTGAAACGTGGTAGGTAAGTCCAAAGAGATTAGTAATTTAGATTCCTTAATTTGTATTACTTTGTTTTACGTATGAAAGCGATAATGGACACTCTTCAGCCATTTCTTGAAAATACACTTGGTGGCAAATGAGACAAATCAAACTGAAAATGGCATCACTCGGTAAATCAGAAAAATAAAGGGAACAACAATGTGCCGCTCATTTTAATCTTACGTTGGTCAAGCTGTCATAGAGAACGGTTTCATAAGATATTCAAATGAAATGAAACAAGAATGGAAAATACTTATGTTTCTATGTTATTCTCTTCTTCCTCTTCTATTTTCCTTTTTCCTTTTCTTCCCTGTCTTATCTGTATGTTATTATTCTTTGGAAGTACAGGCCATCTTTTTGGTGCACATTCGTACTTTGAAAAGTTAAAAAGAGCGACGCCATTCAGGAAAATGCATTTGGCAGCCATACTCTTTGCGGTCGCCATCTTGTGTCCCACTGCGATGGGGTGGACAGTGAAGAATCTCGGTCATATCGACATCCCTTTCGCAGCTTTCACTTCAATCATCCCTGATCCGACCACGGGAATGGACACGGTGACGATCAGCACCTTCAATCCTATCCCTAGGACGACAGATGACATCTTCATCATTCGTGACGTCAGAGCTCAGCTGGCCCTTAGAGGAGCCGACGCCTTGGAGACGGAGGTGCTGGCGAATGGGATGTTATGGCCTAATGAGGTGGAAGAAATACCAGGTAGGAATGACGTTGAGTTGAGCTGAGCTGAATTTGAGTTGAGTTGAGTCGGTTGTGCTAAGGAATGAGTCTTGTACTGGAATAAGGATCTTACTCACTGGAGACGGAGGTGCTGGTGAATGGGATGTTATGGCCTAATGAGGTGGAAGAAATACCAGGTAGGAATGACGATGAGTTGAGCTGGGTTGAATTTGACTTGAATTGATTTGGGTTGCGTTGAGCTGAGTCGGTTGTGCTAAAGAACGAGTGTGTACTGGAATAAGGATCTGACTCACTGGAGACTGAGGTGCTGGTGAGTGGGATGTTGTGGCCTAATTAGGTGGAGGAGATACCAGGTAGGAATGAGTTGAGTTGAGTTGGGTTTAGTTGTCAGGAATGAGATTACGGGGGACTTTTGAGTTGAGCTGATCTAGTTGTGTTACACATTGAGTGCACAATGGAGCAAGAGATCTTAATTGATTTAAGTCGAGTCGTGTTAGAGATGTTAAATCGATGTGATGGAATATAACAGATGGGGCTTGACTTGAGTTTAGTTCCTAGGCTGAGGGAGTTAGATTTGAGTCCAATTAAATGAGAGAATTATAGTGGATCAAGGAACTGATTCACAATCAACCAGGTAAGAAGGTAAGAATGAGTTGAGTTGAGTTGAGTTAGGACATTTTAATTGATTTGAGTTGAGTAGAACATGAGAGACGTAGGGTTTGATGGAAAAAAAGAGCTGACTCCCTAGTTACTGAGGTCCGGGCTAGCGATTAATGTTTTGGTTAAATCGGGTTAAATGAGTTATTGAGTAAGAATTGAATTAAGCTCAGTTGAGTTACCAGGAGTGACATAACATGCCTGTTTGAGTGTTTAGTGGGTTGGACAGTGGAATAAGGAGCTGACCCGGCAGGATCTGAGAAGATAGCTAGCTGAATACAAACGAGTAGACATGGTAGAAAAGGTATGGTTCAGTGGATAAGTCTCCAGACTATGAACCAAAAGGTACGGGGTTGGAGTTACGGACGCAGCACTAACCCACTTTGACAAGACATTAATCTACATTTGCCACACTCCACACAGGTGAGGTAAATGGGTACCTGACATAAATTGATTCCTTTAAATGCTTGAACAATGTAATGGCAGCCATGCTAAAGCCGAGGTAATACTAATGGAGCGACAGGAGTGGCAATGTGCCAGACCTGGGAGCAATACAAAACCCACTATTTTCATTATTTAATGAGGTGGAGGAGATAGCAGGTTGGAATTGAGTTGATTGAGGAGTGAGGGAACTTTTACTAATTTGAGTTAAGTTGGTTTTGTAAACTATTAGTATCCAATTCCAGACGTAGAAAATGCCAATATTGGAGGCATATGTTTTAGAATTAGTATGTGATTTGTGATATTTGGAAAGAACCCTACGATATGCTTCTACCTCTAACTTGTGACGTCATCAAAATTAGTTCGAGAAGACTTACTATTTATTTACTGTAAAGCTATAACGAGCCGTCGATCTGAAGGCCAGTAATCCAACTCCACCCTCTATATCTATATATAATAAAAGAAAAAAAACGAGGGCATTCAACATTTTGCTAAGATTGTTGTCAAGAGGCAAGTAGGTGAAGAAAATGAACGTTAGATGTCTCGCCACGGTTGTAATGTTTAAATCGGAATAGGCCTACGCACCGTTAAAAAACCCCATTTCATTAAAAAAAAGAAGTATATTACATTTGGCAATACCTCAGATACACCGAATGTTCAAGATCACAAATGTGAACATAACAGTAAAACGTTAGTAAACTGAGCTGGTAGTAGTAATAACGTGAAGTAGTGGGAAAAGCGTAAGTAAACTGAGCTATATATTAGACAAAACGTAAGTATACTGAATTAGAAGTCTTGACCCACGTTCGAAGTCCGCCATCTTTAGAGTGTTCGTTCTTTTTTTTTTTGCTAGTTAAAATAACCCTTTTTTTCCTTCATTATACAATTAAAAAATCTTTATAAGCCAGTTTCTCTCGTAATGCAATTCCATAATTCGAACACAGGATAGTCCTCACATATTGAACAACGTAATAAATGTCTCTTCAAGCCAAGGAAATTATTATTAATGTAATTGCAATAAATGTATATCCCCTGGGCGAAAACGAAGCAAAATCGGACAATTGATATACCGGTAGAGCAAAGGTGCAACTTTAAATGCTGTATTTGCACCCAAAAATATGAATCCCCTTCCCCGAGTGGTACCGTTATTGGACGATTTAAGGGTGTACATTTCCCTTGAAAACAATACTTTTAGATTTTCAAATTCATCCCATTCATGACCTCATTAACCAAGTCTAGACATTAATTACTTATCATATAATAATATTCTGTAGACATGTAAATATATATGAAATATGTGAAATAAAATACCTCGATAAGAGGATAAGAAAAAAGAAGAACAAAATGTTCTGTAGACGATGAGAAGATGCCCATATGTTGGCAGCTACTTATCAAAAAGATTAATGATACCTTGAGACCGAAGCAGCTGTGGCAAATATATGAGATCGTAAATAGATAAAAAAAAATATCAATCGGATGATTGCTTGCGTAAACAACGTGACCTTTGTCTATACAATATAGGTCTCTCATGGCACCGCATGGTACAGGCAGGGACATCATGGTCCTGGGGGGTGTTTCACGAAGACCCTAAGTTGAACTTATCTCTAAGTTGGACTTAACTATTATGGAAAGCCGTTAGCATCTATGAAAATATTTTGTAAAAGTTTTTTTTAAAGGCATAAAATGTTGATTCAAATCATTCATATTTTCTATTATCAAGGAGGTTTCTTGTTCTTGATAAAAATTACTTTATTATTTATTATTATTATTATTGATGTGGAATTTAAAAAAAGTCTAAACTACCTGAATTTCTGCTTTTGAATATATTTTATTTTAAGGCTACAAATGGCTCTCCATAATATTTAAGACCAACTTTAGTTAAGTTTGACTTGGGATCTTTGTGAAACATCCCCTCTCCCCAGGTGACCATAAATATAGGATCTCCGTCCTCCCTTATGATTGGATATGATTTATTAACATCCTTTGTTAAAATCTAACGTCGTCAAATATTACGATAAAATACTGTTACATGAGGTTTTTTCTAACGTAGTCAAACATTAAGAGAAAATTGCTAATATTATTATTTTTTCCTTTTTCTTTTTTTTTGCAACCAAAACCTGAGGTTGGATATTTCTATAATGTTTGGTCACGAAAAAAAAAGACTCTACCGGAACCATAATTACAGCATTTGCTGAATTACAAATAGTTTTCCATTTTTTCCCCGCAATATTTTGAAATTAGAAATTAGACCATTTTCTTATACAATCCCATATCCAACTTTTTAGTGTATGGATCTAAATAAATACAATACTGCCCCCTCTCTCTGTGTGTGTCTTTCTCTCTCTCTCTCTCTCTCTCTCTCTGTATTTCTCTCTCTCTCTCTCTCTCTCTCTCTGTATTTCTCTCTCTCGCTATTATATGATCAAGTTTTCTAATGTAGTCAAACCTTATGATAAAATTAATATCATACAATTTTGTAAAAATATAAAGTAAAACTATTGTCATAGGATTTTTTGTTTACGTCGTCAAACATTAGGATAAAGTTATTATCATATGACTTCTTTTTCATAGTAGTAAAATAGGATAAATAAACATTACATTTTTTTTGTTTTTCAGATGATGTGTTTGGTCGGCATGGTTTATGGTGGGTGGCTAATGGCTTCTTAGTCCCAACCAAAACCGATGGAAATATTGAGATCATCGAGGCAGGCAATGACACCTCATGTAAGTTTGATTTCACTTTACTTTATTATCGATTCCACAATGTTTGGTTTGGTGTCATTCCTATTATTATGTGAATGGAAATATGTTGTCGATTGATTGAAATAAAGCGTTGGCTTCATCTGCATTACTATCTGCATGATTTCCTACGCAAGGAGGACAGAGATGGAGAGAGAGAGAGAGAGAGAGAGAGAGAAGGGGGGGGGGGCATTGGCTGAGAGGGAGAAGGGATAGTTTAAAAAAAACATCCTGATAATTACACTGTTCTCCCTAACCTGCAATTTAGAGATAAATTTCCACATAACTGGTTGAAATTAAATGTATTAATGCTATTATACCATACTCGTTTTTAACGAACATAGTGATACAATCCGTGCCGCTACATTTCATATTTCTTGAATTTTACAAGCACTGCATTCGTTCGTGGAGACTCCCCCAAACCTCTTTAATACGCATGTTGTTATAAAGGTTTTATATAATAATAATAATAATAATAATAATAATAATAATAATATATCCGTTTTTATATAGCTCTTATTACAATCACTAAACGCTTCCAAACTTGGAGATTATTGCCCCGGCTTTATAGCTTTATAGCCATTACGGTGCTCTAGCATTTCAAAGAATTTGTTATTCACCTCATCTCATTACAATTTCGGCCAATGCTTTGTAATTCAGAGATGAGATTTGTTTTAACTTGATGAAAATACAATGTTAGTACTGTGGTTTATTGGTAAAGACTCGGGTTCGAACCTTGCTGGGTGCTTATACTCTTGGGCATGGTGTTATGCCTACAGTTGTCTCACTCCACCCATGCATGTATGGGTACCTGGTAATGTTTTGGGAAATAATATTTGCAGGAAGAACAGTGTTAACTGATATGGCTGCCCTGGGCAACTAAATTATTCATACCCCTTGTAAATATGATGTTTTATTTTTATGCTTTTTCGTAACTAAAAAAAAAAAGTTGACTGGTTGAATTAGGGCCCTTGTTGAATAATTGTAGATGTACGCTTCGATATGTCACATCCTTTGTACATTGAAAACTAAATTATTATTATTATTATTATATTATCATTAATCGTTATCTAAAAAATGCGTTTTTTCCGGGTTCTCTAGCGACAATCCCACACTTTTCCCCACACTAACCGAATGCTTAACTACAACCTTGGACAGAAAATGCACCTACCCCTAACTCTACCCCTAATGTTAATCTAAAACCTAATAATTCCAACCCATCCCTTAATCCTATATCTTTGATGATACAAAGCCCGGAGAAAATTTGGCAAGAACTTGTGTCCGATTCTCATGGAACCATTTTGCCTCCTATTTCATTTTCAGTGGGACCAGCAACAACCTATGACATCACATCTCGACTCCTCGATACTTCAAGATGGTTCTATCATCGAGTCGTGTTTGTCGACATGGATCAGGATGGACTCAAGGACGCCCTCACATGTCGGGCCTACGTCCCAGTCGGTAATCCTTTAAAATCCGCTGCTGTACGCCTATAAAGTTAAACTCTTGCATTTTTAAGAAATAGTACTGAACTTGACTTCTCCAAAAAAAATAATCTGAATATATATCTCTAAAATTCTTCTTAATTTGTTTATAGACTAAGGGACAGCGCTTTGAATCATCTTGATGAGGCGCTAAATCAACTGAATCCAGTTATGATTATTGCTTATTATTGTTATTAAAATAGGATTTTGACTCCTAAAAAACTAAGCAATATTTTATTCTTATTGATTCGGTATTAAAAAAAGTTATCGCTGAGCCAAAGTAAACAATGTCCTTAAAGAATAAGCTGAACATTATCGTTCGAAATCATACATCTGGGAAATGTATTTTTTTCGTATCCTGGGCCATGGATATGTACGTAAATATATGTAAATCCTATTCGTGCATGTAACGGTGGCGGTTCATATCCCCCCCCCCCCATTTGGCTTGCATTACAAGCGTCATCACCTCAGAAAGCCGATATGCTGCTGACAAAGCTGCCAAATTGTAACAACAAACACAATTTGAAACACAAATTTGTCACCAACCTTGTATTTCTAGCAGCTATCATGTTAATGTCAGTTAAAATGGTTGATGAGAGAAACAACTGATGATGATGACAAATTTAGTACGACTTTCCTGTCATAAGTGTTAATTCTCGAATTAATTGAAATTTGTGTGTGCCGGTAAACCCTTTTCTTGTGAAGTTGGAGACGTGAAGGCAGAGATGGTTTGGTTTAAGCATCCTCGGATTGGTGATCCCCTCTCAGCGACATGGAAGGAGAACATCATGTTCACAGGACCCGATGCATTCTTTAGATATGAAGAGTTACCAGTCCCAGGGTCGATCCGCTCCGAGAAACGGTTCTCCATTTTTAGCACGCAGTATTTCGCAGAGAAACTTGTAGTCTCGTGGACTGAAGGTAAATCTAGCACAGTAATTCTTTCTAATCGATGGAAAACAATACTCTTTTAATCACAACAGCCAAGCCACTCCCCCCCCCCTTTATAAAACCGATACAGCCATATTTTGGTTATCTTCTGAACAGATGAACGGAATTTTCTATAAATTAATAAACTTTTACATGAAAGATAAGTAAGTTTGAACGATATATTTGAACAAGCTGTTCCCAATTTGAATAAAACAATGAAGTCAACTTATCACTACGCTCATGGTGACAGGGTATATGTCAGTAATACTGAGGCGAAATATTGTTTTTATCATATTTTTCTGTTTATTTTTGGATTTCAATCAGGGGTTCGAGCAGACTGGGGTAAGATTAAACACAGAGTGATTGATGCCGTGCCCGAGGAGAGGTTCTTTGAGTGTGAGGTAAGTACACCTTCATATTATGGAGGTGTCGGGGTATATTGGTTCAGTCACTCGAGTCTCAATCCAAGGGTCAAGGATTCGAATCCCAGCCCGGTACTTACGTCCTTTGGCAAGACATTAATCCACATTTGCCACTCTCCACCCGGGTTTGAATGGGTACCTGGTAATCGCTGGGCTTATAATTATTGTAGGGCCCTCAGGAAGAATAGTGTTCATGCTGATCAATCTTCCATGGGTTAACCACATTATCATGTTTCAAGTTTCAAGTTTATTTTATTTCACTTTATCAAAAATAACACAATTGAACATAAAGAACAATGGTAATTATTATAACTAAACATACAATATAGAAAACATAATGCACATGATAATAGTTATAACAGAGAATACAATCATATAAATCAATCATGTCAGTATGATTATGATAGTGATGATGATGATGATGATAATGATTATTGTTATTATTACCGTTATTATTATCATTATCATTATTATCACCATCATTATTATTATCATCAACAAAATCATCATCATCATCATTGTAAATATATATTTTATTTTGTTATAGTTTAAATTGTCTATAATTTAAACATATTTAACAACGTTAATAATTTATTGTCAGATTGTCGATTTGAATGGTGATGGGAGGCTGGATCTTCTGGTGACTGCAAATAGGTGAGTACTTGGTCCATAAACTTCTTAAGCAAAGCACGGTATTAAAGGCCAAGTCCACTCCAAAAATAATTTACTTTCAATAGAAGCAGAAAAATCAGACAAACCAATCAAAACAAGTTTGAGCTAAATCGGATATTTAATAAGAAAGTTCTGAATTTGTGAAAAAGTCTGTAAAAGTATGAAACAATGAACATCACAAGACAAATTGGAAATTCACTCATGAGTCTGTGACGTCATGTCCTCACTATCCACTAATTGTATTCTTTATATTGATAATATAAATTTCCTATTTTCACCCTGAGAATCTTATTTTTTCACACCAGCATCCAAGTTAGATTGATAGTAATATGTTCAGAAAATAGTATCAATTCTTCAAAGTTCATAAAAGATTTTGTGCAATGTCATGGACGCAATATGATACAAATCATATAACTTGGGAAAGGACATGGGGAAATCAAGTTTTGGGAGATACAAAGAGAAATTAATGGGATTAAACTATATAAAGCAATTGATAAATGGTGAGGACATGACGTCACAAACTGATAACCAAATTGACAATTTGTGTAGTGATTTCCATTGTTCTATAGCTTTTCATACTTTTTCAAAAATTCATTACTTTCTTATTAGTTATCCGATTTTGCCCAAACCTTTTTTTCATTGGTTTGTCTGATCTTTCTGCTTTTATTGAAAGTAAGTTTTTTTTTAGTGGACTCGTACTTTAAGTGTTTCTGCGTCTATCGTACCGTCCAAAGTCACAGCGCGAACTCATAAGCTTTTGCGTGTAACACACAACCCTATCAAGAAATCTCAAGTCATTGTCGAACAACTCTTTAAACCTTTGCAATCGATGCCATTGATGAACTTCGTATTTGAGTGGTGAAGACAGTGAAAGTGATTAATACAAAGAATGATGTTTGTATGAACAATTTACCGCAGCTTTTTTAAAATATTTTATTCGACCGCGCCTTTAAAAAAAAAAAATAACAACAATTGGAAACATTCAAAATTTAATGTTTGTACACCATTAGTTTCTTCATAGAGCTATGTGTTATTTGCTTATATGCTCAAGCTAAATGAATCTCTGCATATTTATTTTTCATTCCCATCCCCGGCTCCCCCTCCCTATCTCTCTCTCTCTCTCTCTCTTGTTATTTATATACCATCGGGCCCACTCTAAACAAATTGGCTAAATATTCCCCCACTCTATATTTATTCCGACCAACTTTGCACCATTATACACTTGCGTCGGGTTATACTACTACTACTACTACTACTACTACTACTACTACTACTACTACTACTACTACCACCACCACAAAGGCAACTACTACTACTGATCCTGCTCTTCTTATACAACTTCACCTCATTCTTACTTCATTTTCCTTTGTATATACTTATTTTCCCGTCATTTACAGCGAAACTAATGGCAAATTGTTGGCGTATGAGATCCCTGAAGATTGGGAAAACGGTATTTGGGTACGACAAGTGATCGCTGAGGGCTTCAAACCTAACAGCCTTATCACCGTAGAGGGCATGGGATCACCAGGCGTTGCGTTCACTATTAACCCAGATAGCAGCACCACAAGGTTTGTTTGTTTGATTGATTGATTGATTTATTTATATATTCATTTACCAACAACTGTAACAATATGTGTCTAACATTATGTCTGTAAAATAGTAAAGAAATATTACAGAATCGAATTATATGCTAAAGGATGGTAAATGGGACCTGAAAATGGAACATGTGCTAGTCGAGCCAGGTCCCTCTACACAATTTACAAAATACATTTCCTTATCAAAACACGAAATAAAACATTTACAACTTAGTTACATAGTATTTTGTATCGAGCAATATAAGTGGCAAATGTAGATTAATGTCAGAATGTTGCAAACTTACAGAGACTTTCTGACAATCACATCAACTTTAAAGGACGAACATGTAAATGCATAAATGGGACTAGGCATTTTACCAATCAGCTAGATCACAAAGTGATTTCTCTGTCTTTGCTCATCACTCAAAGATAGTATTTTTTCCATTGATTGATTGGTTAGAAATTTATAATCTTAAATAAGACATGTACTTTACTTTGTTTTTGTTATTACCAGAACTCATGATTACACTTTCACCCTTCAATTCGGGAGGAATATGGCAAAAGAATACGACCCTCATAAGGGCTTCAGACATTGCATTTATATCAGGGCTAAAACTCTGACCAGAGTTATGAGAACAAATTAATAAAGTCCTTCTAGATCTGAAAGAAAAAATGCATTAAATAACTCTGGTGTGACGGGTAACGAGCTGCAAGGTAAAATAGAAAACATAAATGTAAATTTGACAGATGTTGGTTCATGATTTAGTGACACATTAATTTTCATGGACAAAACGTATGTAATTAGTTTCATGATACCACACATGCTGCTTCTCTTATAAAATGGCTTTTATATGTTATTTTTTTCAAAATTTATATCAACAATAAAAGTGTTATGACTATCTTCAGTGACCTTTGTAAGTAGTTTTCTATACATTCAACCTTCATCAATTATTTGCACTGTAGGAAATGCAAATATTAAATCTCCAAATATTGATTCCATCACTAATGTGATATATTGACTATAGTCTCTATACTATTATTATTATAAACGATATAAAAAAATCTCGCGATAAGCAGACCACAATGGCACAATGGTTACATGTTCAATGTTCCTGTATTGAAATCATAAATTACCTCGTTTAATTTTGATTGTTTTTGGCCTTTAGACAGGACGAGTATTTTATGTCTCAAAGTTAAGAGCAGGTAGCAAATACTCACGTACCAACAACTTTAGGATAAATATACAAATCATGATGTATGCCAGCTCTGTTCTCCTTTTCATGAGTGTTTTTTTTATACAAATGTCTAAATAAATTGTACATTTGTTTGCCTTATCCCAAGAGGTCATCTTTAGGTCAGGTGATGACAGAGAAGTAAATAATTGTTTCTCTGAATATTCAAGACTACAGTTTCAAGCTAGAAGTATATTAACACATTGCCAACTGGGACCTGGTGGTCCCTGTGTTAAGTCTATGGGCTAACTCTGTATTCAAATCTAGGAGTAACCTTCTTCTGGCAGTGAGCAGATGAATTCATGTGCCAAAGGATTTTGGTAGAGACTTTAAATTAACCCATTGGCTACTGGAACCGGATGGTTCCTGTGTTAAGTCTATGGGAGTGAACAAATTCAGTAGTCAAGGGGTTAAATGAAAGTAAGCTGATGATACTGTCTTAGCATGGATAATTAGTTGTCCCCTACATGCATGTTAGATATGTGTACGTGAGTTCCAGCACGTTTTCATTCATTTCATTACCAGAACTGAACATTTCTTTATTTACCTAAGGTGCGTGATGGATAAACACCTGTACAATTATTTTTTGTCCACGAAAAGGTGTCTGCAGCACAACAAAGTGACAGACACAATGTAGTTGACACCTTTTGGAAGATTAGCCTATTTGAAGTGATGATTATTAATTATTACACAATAGTAGTTCTAAATATCAAATTGACCTTTTTTCTATACAAAATAAACCAATCGTATAGTATGATAACATGAAGTCTTTCGTCTTCTTTGTGCATGGCTGATTGTCAACGAAACGGATTTAAGTCTTTTGTCAATTATGTTTGTTGCTACGGCACGCAGCCAGTGAGAACGAATTCGTTTACTAAAATTATGGAAATGCAAGCATTACTTTAAAATAAACAGAACTTTGTCATTCCTGGCTCATTTTTCCTGATTGTCATATGAAAGGGCAAAAAATAAACTTATTAGAAATTTGATTTTCTCTTTGAAATTCAGATACCGTTCGCCAGATGACTTTTTGGTTTCCTCTCTTCAAATTGTTTTAATCACTCATGCGTGAAATATGCATGATATGAGTTGCATCAAAATGAAAGAGGAAGATCTAGGCTTTACAAATATGTGGCATTTATTAATTATAATTTTGGTTAAGTTAACATCGATAATTCCCGGTTTCATTTTTTTCTGGGACACACTGTATAATCTCGGGGTGAGGCGAATATTGTCACTTTAAAACAATATTTGAATAACAGGGAAATTGATTACTCATGTATCACAAACAATGACATACATGTATCTATACGTAAAGAGATTTTTTTTTAACATGTATTCATTTAAAGTAGATAAAGAAGACTACTATTCATCACATCCAAACAGATTTTCCATAAGATTATAAAGATTAAAGGGCTATCTCTTTCTCCCTTTGGATTTCTCTTTCTTTCATTTGAATATTTCTCTCTCTTTTTTTGCTCACCAGACGCAAACCGATGATCACCATGGCAGGTGACGATGACAGCAATGTCTACATCTTCGAAGCCGTGAATGACAACGACGTCAACGACTGGCGATACACTAAGACATCGATCTTCGTTTCTGAAAAGGGGACGGTGGGCTCCATGTCCTTTGGTGACGTCACAGGTGACGGTCTGGCGGAGATCTTTGTCCCAGCGTACTCAGACGGTCAGCTGCATGTGCTGACCTTTGAACCCTAAACCCTAAAGGCTCGTTCGGATATGTAGAGGTCAACCGCGGTGTTTTGTTTTTGTTTTGTTTACAGCGTGTAAGCGAACGGCAAATGCGCGCAACAAAGTTCCACTTACGTCATCAAGAACGAACAAAACAACGCCGCAGTTTACCGCGTCATACCTGAATGAGGCTTAATATCAGTGAATGGCGGCGAAAATTAATCGCTTTTCGTTGCTGAAAATTACTTATCAGATGAAGGATCAAAAAGACACTTTTTCATAAATTTTCCGTGTAAAAGTAGAGCGGTGAAGTATTCTTCGAAATTTAAGATGGACACAAATATTTTCTAGTTAGATATCACTTGGCAATATTTTATTAAATAATATTTTTGGAATTGAATACTCTCTTTATCCACAATGACTAACTATATGTCCCCTGGTAACTCCTTTTCTTCTGACGTCCATTTTCTATACAAAAGACCTGTCTCTTAAATGGCGATTGTATTCTAACCTACTCTTTAAACTCATTTTCTAACCGTATGAATATATAAACATACTTCTTACGACCAACGTCTTGCACCATGTTAAAATAGACGCTGTATACAGGGTCTCTAAATTTCAAGTGAGACACATGATTTTGTGCCTCCTCCCTGTTTTTAGTCATTGATGTATTCCTTTCACTTGAGAATGTACATCATTCAGATGCATGTAGGAATTTTCTTGTAGGTTTGAGCCCATTCTATCTTGTATACAGAGATAAAATACGTATAACAAGATCGCAACTATTTTCGAAAAGTTATCTCAAGGTCAATTTCAATTTTCTTTAAGGAAATACTTTATGGCAACGCAAAACTTCCTACTCACTCAATGAATCGCTCATTTTATTGCGGTATTTATTTTACGTACGTATTTGTTCAATAATTGTTATTCAAGCGGAGATTCGTTCGTTATGTCTAGATTTATTGAAGTACACTGTATGTTTATAAGACAAAGTAAAAGAATAAATAGAAATTTTGAAATATGAAAACGATTTTCCGTATTATTTCACTTAGAAGTAATGTTTAATCAAGTAGAAACTTTTCTTTCGGCACTTTATCATCAGTTCCTCTTTAGTAACCCACTTTATAGGAATAATTTAATAAGGAACCGCCTTACCATTCACTCCCGCCCTTGTGTCCTCGCGAATAGCATCGTTACTAAAGAAAGAGAGAGATAGAGAGAGAGAGAGAGAGAGATCGGGAAAGAGAGCGCGGGAGACTGAAAAATTACAAAATTGGAAAAACGATAGAGACAGGAAGAGAGACAAAGAGACAGACAGGCAGAGACAAAGAGAGAGAGAGAGAGAGAGAGAGAAAGAGAGAGAGAGAGCGAGAGGAAGAGAGAGAGAGAGAAAAAAGGGGAGTAAATGGAGAGAGAGAGAGAGAGAGAGAGAGAGAGAAAGAGGTGGGTGGATGGTCAGCAATCAGAATAATTCGAATGAACGGTTTGGAACAATTATACTGTTTAGTAAATTGACAGAAAAAAAAAAAATTAAAGAAATAATCAAAATCGGCTTCATTAATTTTGAAATCGCACCTTTCCACCTGTTGAACGTGGATCAATAGAAAAAATGTACTCCAAAAGGACTTTTGCATAAATTTTGTATCATGCAGTCACCATGGTTTGTCATTGATAAAAAGGTTGAATTCACCCATTATTCAGATAGCAGATAACAATTTTATATTTTAGAAATAACTGGAAGGTATGGTTTAACCAACGTGATAAACCTAGTTTGTAGGCACAAACTATTACCAGTCGTGCGTAAAAGTGCCTGCATAGGAGACACAGTAGGCTCCGTACTAGTCTGTACTAAGCACAGACCCTAATTTGACACTTTATCAAAAAAAATCATTGTGCCTTGAGAGAAGCCTAGCCCAGCTACCTACTGGTGTCAGGAGCAGCTACAGTGCATGGCCTATGGTAGTCTTATAGTGCAGACTCACTTTTACGACTGACCAGGGTTTGTGCTTGCATACTAATGATAACCCTCTCATGCTCTGTTAAAAGAATAGTAACCGTGGTTTTAATTTCTTTTATTCGGATAGACAGTGCAGAATAGCTCATACAACACAGAAAATAATAGGCCCAGGTATACTGTTTTTTTGTTTGAGTCGAAACCAGAGCGATTGCCTAGCGGAAATAGCCCGTTTATTTAAACGTCCCTCGTAACAACTCGTGGAAGTTAAGTTCCGGGGTTATAGTTCCGTTTACGATGACGTCATCTCCACAGTCAGCAGCTAATAGAATACTTGTATGCCACATCAGAGGGCCAAGTGACTCATAACGTGACACAACAGCAGAAATAGCTGTCTTGTGATATACGAACCTCGTATTTTCAATATGGCGCTATCGAAGAACAACCCATACAGTTTGGGTGATGACTTAACATGTGGGATTTGCGAGGGTAAACTACGCAATGGACAGTTCCTAAAATGCTTTCATTCTTTCTGTGATCAGTGCTTGAGACAGGAGAAGAAACGAGAGCCAGAAAGACCCAAATCAGCAAGCTTCCCTGGCATTGGAAACAGTGCGATAAGTGTAGCGCAAGGTGTCTTTCGAGTAGCAACCAACTTTTTTGCGTTGGATCCTGATGGCGAAGAGATACGAGGTCTTAAGCTCCCAGCTTGCCCGATCTGCAAACGAAATGGAAAAGCAGAAACTCATGATTCCAGGCAGTATTTCTTCCCAAACATTTTTGCAGAAATGAAGATCGGAAGTGTGGATTTCACGGACAAACTACGCGGGAAAGCAGAATCTAGTGACACTTTAATCTGTGAATCATGCCAAGAGAACAATTGCAAGGTTACATCTTTCTGTAGCGATTGTAAACAATTCATCTGCGCGACTTGCGTCGTAGCACACAAGAAACTGTCTGTGACTCGCAATCATTCAATCGTGTCTACAAATGACATCAAGAACGGAAAGAATCTAGTTGACGTCGACAATGCTCACACATATTCAACATGCAGCAGTCATCCGTCGTCACTCTCCACAAAGCTCTGTACTATATGTCAGGTAGCTATCTGTACCGATTGCGTTTCATCAGAGGAGCATCGTATGCACCCATCTATAGATGTCAAGGATGGTATTAAGCCGTTCTTGGACGAGGCAAGTACCTTGGTCAGCAGGTTCACCCCATCAAGATTTGACAAAATCGTTGTGGCGCACCTGGAGCATAAGAAGGCTATTGCAGATAAAGCCGAAGAGCTTCGGAAACAGATCATTGAAGATGCTGACATCGCCCGGGCAGAACTCCTGCAGCAGCTCGAGGACAAGAAAATGTCCATGTTGGCCAAGGTGTCTAGGGTCGAGAGTGACTCGACTAAGGCAACCAACGAGCTCATCAAGTCCTTGGAGGAGCTGAGAATAAAGGCAACCACGGCAGAGAACTATGTCGATGTCCTAAAGCGCAGAGGCACCGTATCCAATATATTAATGGCAAGGCGTGGGGGTTTCGTAGATCTCCTCAAGGATCTTACAGCTGATATTGCCAACAAAGAATCTTCGAAGACACAGGGAACCCTTAGACTACATACAACCTCGTTCCCTTTCCCGCGATACCAACTGAAATGGTATTCACTTCAATATAGTGAATGAGTAGGAAATTAAATCTAAAATAATCTTCATTATTTTCCTTTTGAGATGTGCCTGGTGATAATTATTAGCATGTTTATGGTGCTGGGAATGAACACTATTTTAGTAGTCCAATCTTTTGAGTGGTCCAAGAGGATGGGATAGTCATCATGATGAACTGTGGCAAATATGGATCGTGCCATCAATCCTGTGAAGTCTTTATATCTATAAACATAAAAATAACAATTTAACGATTTACCTATGGCTACGGAGACAACGAAAATCACACTGCACAATCGGTCATATTCTATTTTTTTTTCAATAATTGATTTATTTCAAGAAACCTTCGAAATGTATTATACGTGACTCATCGAGACAACACTTTGACAACAACATTTGTGCAAGTCAGTTTATACACTATTCGTAAGTTGAACAAACAAAATCATATTTTTAAAGTTAGGTTCTCCTACTTCGAAAGAAAAGAAATAGCCTTTTACATCAAATAATGTTTTCTTTTCCGATGATATTAGATTGAGTTCAGTCAGCATGCTGGCATTCATCGAGTAAGTTATTGTTGTAGAAGACTTTCCGATAAACTTTGATAATTTTGACTCCCAATATCTCAGTCATAATTTTACATGATTTGTGCAATTGTACATAACATATTTCTTTACCCACAATGTATGCAATATGCAGCACTAGTTGGAGAACAAAATAGCATTTTACATCAAATAATGTTTTCTTTTCCGATGATATTAGATTGAGTTCAGTCAGCATGCTGGCATTCATCGAGTAAGTTATTGTTGTAGAAGACTTTCCGATAAACTTTGATAATTTTGACTCCCTATATCTCAGTCATAATTTTACATGATTTGTGCAATTGTACATAACATATGCTTTACCCACAATGTAAACAGCACTAGTTCTAAAACCAGTACGTATCAATATTTCCAATTTAAATTCCATTTATTATATATGAATAAATATGACGTGATAATAATCAGACGTCAAAAACGTGATAACACGGATAATTTGAAGTGTTTAGATGAAATACATACAAGAGTAATTGGCAGCAGAAAAAAAATAGTTTCGGATATGTCTGGAAATTACATCATTGCAATCGTAACTTTATCGTATAAGTAGGGAAATATGTCTCTAGTACTGAAAGGTTTAAAGTCCGAAACCGAATGACATAAATAGTAAATACTTAATATTGGAGCCTAAGCGGCATTGTATTGATTATTATGATATCTAACCTTTTTTTTCGTATAGTATTTATTTTGGGCTACAATTCGCTCAATTTAAAATGTAAACCGGTGAAATATTCAATAGTTGGCAAGATACTATAGAATGCAACAGCTTTCACAATTCGATTATACTTTGAGACGATGTAAACAGTTTAAACTGTGCATGATGATCACTTTAATAATTTAATCTTTGACATGTTGCGACAAACATATCGAGACTGAATCCATTTAACAATTCGTTTTGAAAGAATTAAAATGCTCTTAATCAACTCTTACGTGTATCATCCTTTTAATTTATAATTGTTTCATTATTGTGCAAAGGAATTTCGCAATCTATATAAGAACACTTCTGCTAAGATTTATATTACTGTATAGGAGTAATAGTTATGAGGTATATATCATATATATTAACATCCGAAAAAAGTTGTTTTGTACGAAAACAAGATTATTTTGTGCTTATTTGTATTAACATGTACTTAGTCGTATTTGTACAAACATGAATATATCATACTGCATACTGATTACTAGAAATAAAATGGCATATATAACCCTTCAAATCAAGAAAAATTGGTATAAAAATAGTGTTACTATATCGTCGCCTGCACCACGAACCGTCCTCTCTGCGCACTTTGATGCGAAAGTTAGTTTCGCAGAAAACGCATTTAAAGAAAAGCTTTTTTTAAACCGGCAATAATTATAACTAAAAGTAGAGCAAATTAAAAACCGATGACTTCATTCGATAGTTCAGGTCCCAAAGTTACATCCCATATCTTTATATTTTCTTGAACTTAATTATTTACGCCACAGCGAGCATTGTAACAGAGAGGACGGTTCGTGGAACAGATATAGTGCGCGATCGCGCCTCGCGTCTTTACCACGAACTGGCCGCTCTCCTGCGGACGGTTCGTGGAAAAGATGAAATGCACAATGCGCATTGCTATTTTCACCACGAACCGTCCGCTCCTATTACGCGCAACTGAAAACCGTACAAAATGAATGGAAGATGAAGTGACTGAGAATCGGAAAGTGTTGTTTACAGACATCGGTTTTCTAATTCACATTTTCAAACATTTTAGGGATGTTGAAATAATCCGGGTGATGATGAGAGTAAAGAATGACACATCTACTCTCACTCAATATCAATTCTTCAAAAATGATGAAATATTTTTTGTCCGTACTGCCTCATAAACAGAGAAGACGGTTCGTGAAAAAGATGAATTCCGTTACAACAGTAATCCATTTCACCACGAACCGTCCGCTCTTAACAAGATGTGTACAAACCGAATGAATATTTAAGAAAATCTCAATTAAAGTATGATCTGTGAGCATTCATAGTTATTTTAATTCAATATTGATTTTTTTTTTGTACTGAATAACAGGCAAAATTCGTTTATTGGAAATCAGTTCATTGCATGCAATAATTTGTCTTTTTCTTTTCTTTTTTCTTTTATTTGAAATTTATTAGTTAGTTTATTAGTATTGCTATCTTACTGGACGAAATCAAAATGCTCTTCTTTTAACATTGTCCAATTCTGGATTGATAGTAAATCTTGCTTTCTTTCTTTCTTTGCTTCTTCTTTCTTTGTTTCTTTCTGCCTTCCTTCCTTCCTTTACTTTTTCGTCTGCCTTCCTTCCTTCTCTTTACATTTTCTTTCTTTCTTTCCTCCTTGCTTTCTTTACCAAATTTTCTTCCTTTCTTTCTTTATTTCTTCCGTTCTTTCTTCTTTTTTTAAATTTGTCTGCAGTAATTTCATAAGGCACTTTAAATTAAGAAAATCAGATAAATCAGACATGCATGGAAACAAAGGATTTAGATACACACGTCCATTGCCTGCTTCAAATATTTAAAAAAATAAACAAACATAGATTATTTATCAATTGTGTCTTTTTATCTTTTAATAATCATCATATTATTTCATTCCATAGTATTTGCAACATATTTAACAGAAATATTTACAGACAGAACAAAATCTGAAATAGGCAAGACGAATTACAATTCCTTTAAAAAAAAAATCACACACATTGACATTTTGGCATAATGTTTGTTTAGATCTCATTGAGACAAAAAAGAATGGACAATGATGGAATGTTATTTCAATTTTTGTTTTTTTTGTTTCTTCATATCCAGTCATCAAGAAGTCCTCGTGATTTGACTCTTTATATCAGTTGTATAAAGTAAAACCTTTGTCTCTATTAATGAAAAAGTGATATATTGGACATCAAATTAGAGGATTTTAATAATCCTATTCCTCACAACTCTGCATGAAATATATTCAATTATGCACATGTCTTAGGAATATTCAAAAGGATATATAACTTTTCCACATTCTATTCATTTTGATTTCCATAGAATCTTGTTAAACTTCATTGTTTGCAGATGGAAATATCAAAATTTCACCAAGATCTCTTTAGTCAGATTCATCACAATAATGAAATATTTAAAATTATGTATCACTTTTCTTCCATTCATGTAGTTATTCTATTTCCAATGTATACTTCATTGTTATTTTTTTTAAACTACACTATTTACAGATAGAAACATTAAATTCTAGTCCTTGATACATCTCGTATTTTCCATTTCCAAGTTTACTTCATTATGTTATTTCTAAACTGCATTATTGACGGATATAAATATTAAATTTCAACACATCATTTAACAAATGCATTATTTATTTTTAATTATTGTAATTATTTCATATCCGTAGTAAATTCAGAGTTCTATTTAAACTGCATTATTTACAGATAAAAAAAGGAATGAGCCAGATACATCTCATAGGAATGTATTATTCCAAAGAAAACATCATTTATCTTCAACACATGTTATTAAATCATTTCATCTTCATATAATTTTTTTCTCTTTAAAGCTGTATCGGCATTTACAGATAAGAAATACCAATGTTCTGAAAGAGCCAGATACATCTCATAGAAATATAATATTGAAAAGAATGTATTATTTCTCATAAATTCATTTAATTATTTCAGTGTATTACATTTTGTTTTTAAACTGCATTATTTACGGATGGAAATGTTAAAATATCACTTGTCTTGAGTACAATAAGTATCATATTGACACAATATTCAAAAGAATTGATTATTTCTCGTCAATTCATTTAATTATTTCAGTGTATTACATTTTGTTTTTAAACTGCATTATTTACAGATGGAAATGGTAAAATATCACTTGTCTTGAGTACAATAAATATCATATTGACACAATATTCAAAAGAATTGATTATTTCTCGTCAATTCATTTGATAATTTCATCTCTATAGTCTATTCCTTATATTAAAACTTCAATATTTACAGATGAAAAAAATAAATAAATAAAATGAGCCAGCTTAATTTCGTAACTATGAATGTAATATCCCAAAGAATGCATCATTCAATACAAATCATTTAATTAATATGTCATTGATATATTATCTCTTGTGCTAGATACATCTCATACCAATGAAATAAGTAATTTTCGTTTCGATGTCATGCAAAAGTATTTTTTTAGTCTCAATTGTGAATCATTTATAAACAAGTTCTTTTTTTTTTAAGATTTGATTTTCAACAAAAATTGAAATCGCTCATATGAAAATACGCAAAGTATCATAATGACAAACACAGCTCGTCACAATCTAGCAGATTCAACTCTACATTTCAGATATGAACTGGTCAGTGATTACTTTTTATGGAAACAAAGAATATGAAAGCATTAATTAACTGATATCATTTGGGTAGCATAGTTTAGTAGTGAGGCAGCTTATCATAAAAAGCCTGGTGGAGTGGGTG